TGTCTTGCGATGGTTGTAAGGTACTTAAAAAAACGTACGATCTGCCTATGTTGCATAGGCAGATCGTACTTGCGATGATCGCAAGCCACGCCCCCTGAGGGGCGGGCTTCCGATGACCGCAATGCCGAACGGGCAGTGTGCGCTTGCGCACACCGGCCCGTGCGGCTGTTATCGTACGGACATGCCACAAACCCGCCGAACATCGTACGATGCTCGGCGGGTTTTCAAACATGTCCGTAAGTTTAAAGTCGTGCGACCTTACAGCAGTAGAGGTCGCACAGCTTCCACACACCTTACGTACATCGTACGATCGCGGGATTTCCCGCGATTATCGTACGATAATCGTAAGGTGTGTGGACACCCTAAGGGCGGGCTTCCGATGAGCGCAATGCCGAACGGGCAGTGTGCGCTTGCGCACACCGGCCCATGCGGCTGTTATCGTACGGACATGCCACAAACCCGCCGAACATCTTACGATGCTCGGCGGGTTTTCAAACATGTCCGTAAGTTTGAAGTCGTGCGACCTTACAGTAGTAGAGGTCGCACGGCTTCCACACACCTTACGAACATCGTACGATCGCGGGATTTCCCACGATAATCGTAAGGTGCGTGGGCACCCTCAGGGGGCGTGGCTTGCGATCATCGCAAGTACGATCTGCCTATGCAACATAGGCAGATCGTACGTTTTTTTAAGTACCTTACAACCATCGCAAGACAAAAGTCTTGCGATGGTTGTAAGGTGTGTGCCCAGCCTAAGAGTTCACAGGTCCAGGGGCAGCAGAATGCTTGCCAATCACCAGCCAACAAAACTGACACAGAAAGCCACAATTAGACAGGGCACCAGACACTACTGTATCATTACCAGACGTGTGGGAGTCTACAGTACTTTGGGAATTTGGGGGATTTTGAAGTGCAGTACTGCAGTATTAGTGCTGTAAATACGTCAGTGCAATCTAGTTGAGCAATCTGTCAACACAACCACTGATAGCATTCATTCTGTGATATGTGATGATGTGGTGTTGGGTGGAACTGTAAAGCAATACTTGGTATTAATATACTTAGAGGAGAGTGCATCAAAATTATAATATTAGAATTACATAATTCTATAACAAATATATTCGGAGGGTTAAGCCAAGCTTAAGCAGGGTACAAGTATAACGTTGGGATGACAATATTGATTTACTATTGATTTTTAAAAAGTAGCTGTGTAGGGTAGCAATACAACATTTATATATCGTACAAATGTTAGTTATTTAAAAACAATGCCACAATTCAATTTTTTAAGGAGGAAAAAGCTCAGTTTTCAAACTGTGTACATAGACGACGTGGTCACCCAAAAATAACCCTCATCTTCAGACACTTTGTGGTTGATTTACTATGGCCAGAGTCACAGCTTTTGCTTGATATGTGTTTTTTGAAGGTTTAGGAGATTCCAAAAGAGGCAATAGTATAGTGTACACAGGAAAAGACTCCAGACCATCATAAATTGATATTAGAGAGATCGGAAAACATCTTATGACTAGGTACATGTAGGCAAAAGACTTCTAATGTACATAGAAAAAGTCTTAAAAACTCTCAAGGAATCATGTAATAAAAAATTATCATAAAGATATTTTGTTAACTTTTTACAGCATCATTGATGTTTCAAGGTCAATATTATAGTCAAGATTGTGTTTAAGGTAGGCCCCCTAATATTCACGCCTTGTATAGAATCGTTCGTTGTAATTGCTCTGGCTAAATGTTCTGTGGCCAATATATACAGATGCTGGGAAAGGGGGAATACCTGGCGTGATGCATAATGTATTTGCATTTGAATACACATTACTGTGTTTATAGCAACAACTCCTGATCAGAGCTGATGATGAAGAGATGACATCTCTTAATGAACTGCAGACATGGACACCTTCAGAGCTACCTCACGATAAGCGTGCAGTCGGATCCAGAATGGGATTGACATAAGGAGTAGTTGTTGAGTGGCGGGTGTTACAATGCACATTACTATTTTATAGCAACAACTACTGCACTATGCAATTTCGGTCACTAGATGGCAGTGTTTATAAGTTCTGTTATCTGTGGTGTATACTCTATGGCTTCCTTCTAGAGATTCCTTCAGATCTTTCAAATTAATCGGTTCATTTTGAACGGTTCATTCAAAAGAGCCAATTCATGAATTGAATCATCGGTTCACTTGCTGAGTGAGCTTGACAAGCAAGTGAACCGAAGCTCAGGAGCTGTCTGACTCTTCATAAAAGATCCGAATCAGAAGACTCTGATTCAGAGAAGGGGGGCAGCTCCTGGGGATCGTTCTAGTGATCAGTGCCTTGGCTCAGAGAAGTCACAAGTTTGGTTTTATGTCAGACCAGCCATTCTATTAGATCACCCAATGTCGTCACGTCCGGTGACGCGCGATCAGGTGTGACAGTAAAATGCGTGTTACTGCACATACGCTCCGCATTCTGATGAGCTGATGTCATCACACTGCTAGCGGTCAGATTCCCTAGTCTCTAGTGTTTAGAGCGCAATAACGATTGGATTTACTACCGCGCCTACGGTACTAAAATCGTATTGTTATTACCACCCATGCGCTGTAAAGACTATGGAGAAATCTGACCGCTAGCAATGTTCGCTGTGACATCAGCTCATCAGAATGCAGAGCACATGCGCAGTAACACGCTTTTTACTGTCAGTTGATCGAGCGTCACCAGAAGTGACGACATTGGCTGATGTGATAGAATGGCTGGTGTGACATAAAACCAAACTTGATGTTATAGTTTTGCTGGGAAGGTCAGGAATTAACAGTGGTGTGTTCCCATTGGGGAGGTTTTGTATGAGAGTTTACATGCTGCAGTGTTGCCCATATATGAGATTTCTCTTTTCCTCCTGTCCTGTATGATCCGGTTGTATGAACGGGACAGGAACAGGAATAGTTGATACAGGCACTAAGCATTCCTCAGTTTATCCAAGCCTAAAAAAAAGTTATATTTGGGGGTTTTCATAATAGCAGTAGATATGTGATACCTTCTAGCTGCCATAGACAGGAGCTATAGCTTTAAAATCGTCAGAGTTCCTAAGAAATAAAGGAGACTTGCTGGCAATTCAACCCATCACTGTACATACAAAACCAGAATACTAAAAGACAACCTAACATGAGATCTACTGGCAGGATCAACAGGTGATGACAATATTTTACATGTGGGAATTGAGCAAAAACAAAGCCTGCTTTGTTTTCTTTTTTATAAAATCTTTATTTATTTCAAGATTTTTAAAATTTCGTTAAACATAACCGGAAAGATGTGCCCAGGTGGACTCGCAGGTCCGGGCACGACAAGAAAAAGAAAAAGCAAATAACACATAAACATGACATCGGCAAACACTGAGCATTTAGGGTGCAGGTTAACCAGGGGATCCCTACCATTGTCCATGGAACCTATATGAATGGGGGGGGTATCCTCTCACGGAGACCCCAGTGTGAAGGAGTAGGTCGGGATCACCTCCCAGATTGTGAGTGTGTCCACGTGGACCTAAAGGTGGGTTAGGTAGGAGAGGACCGGACTATCTCTCAGGGGAAGCCTGCTTTGTTAAAGTAGAACTAAAACCAAAACTTTTTTTGTGTGTTTTGAACAGAGTAAGGGAGGTTATAACCCGTCAGCCTTTTTTTTTTGTCATCTGTGTCTGATTTAGGTTATTTTGTAACCAAAGCCCTTTGTCCCTCTTTCTGGTCTGATGCACAGATATCTATGAAAATGTAGATATATTTAACTATCAGTAGTGTTATTCTGCACTAAAACCTCCTACCTATCGCTTAATTATCTCATTTGCTATTTTGAAAAACCAGTAAAGGTGGAAAGCGCCAATTTTGGGTAAAACCAATTATTTTTGCCATATAAATTCTTAATGTTCTGCATAACTGGGGGGGTATGGGTTCCTGCCTATAGCACGGGAGACATTTATCCATAGGCCTGCACAGTTCGGTTTAGAAATGTGCCTACAATCCACAAGGAATAAACTACTGCCACTTGTTCCTATAATATGACACAGCAAATATATTACCGGTAACAGATGTTATAAAAGTGCCCTTGCACGAGGCAGATAGGAAAACAAAAATAAGTATGGCACATTGTTATAATATTCAGGGAGATTCTGGCATTAAACGTAATATGACATCTGAGAAGGCCATGTGGTTAGGTACAAGATACTAGTAAAAAGTATTCAGGGGTTTTTTGTGTACTATAGGACATCAGTAATGGCCGGTATCAGCTGGGTGGTGTGGAATTTGAACACTTAAGCCCTTATCTTCCCCAGCTCTGCCCAGCCATCTTTGGTCCTCTGCCTCAGACATGTAGCTATTTTAGCTGGAGTTCAGATAAAGAGTAGTATAAAAAGTGGGGGGTCTGCCAGCTGAAGGACAGAAGCGTCGGGAAGACAACAGAGATGGTAAGTAAGCAATGTGTGCTATGTATAAATGAGTTTTAAAGGAATGGATGGTGACCAGACAATTTATTGGTGATTAGTGTTAAAAAAAGCACTGTGACATCTTCTACTAGCTGATGTTGCACAGTAAAGTTGATTAAGTGGAAATTGGCATGGTTCCCCCTTATCGGTCTGAGAGATTGTACATCATGCTGGAGGATTTCTGAGAATTATATTGGGGACTTTCATCGTGCCCAAAAATATCATCACATGTTATTCCCAGGTATGGATCTTCTAGGACAAGACAAGGGGGTACATAATAGTATAACACTACAAATGTCAGCAATGGCAGAAACACAATGGAATGCATTCAATTCTTCATCTCCCTTGAGTAGGTAATTATGACATGGGATAAGTATACAGGTGGAGATTGTCACTGGCTGCCTTTCCACTCCACAGGGAGGTATTCCTGGGAGCAGCGCTCCCACAGCAGTATGATGGTTCAGAGTAGCAGGGAACAAATTGATGGGAACTCAAGTTTAAGAATCAATGTAAGGTATATAAGGAACTTTTTTTTTTAACTTAAATAGAACAGCAAGCAAATGTTGTGACCCTTTGCGGACATTTTATAAGATCATGATGCTCATTCCCAAATGCAGAAACAAAACAGAATGTATGCAATCATTCAGCTTCCTGGAGTAGTTAATTATGAAATGAGAATGGTACACAGAGGGCCGGATTTACTCTCTCTGCTGCCCCAATGCCAGGTTCCTCAATGTGCCCCCCTGTATGCAGGCTGCATACAAGTGATCTCGGCGACTTCGCCGAGATCAATTGTACAAAACAAGTGGCGGCTTCCCTGCTCTACATTTAGCCTTGCTTGCCCAAAGCAGGGGTAAATATAGAAAATAACTATCTGGCCGGCGCCCCCTGGAACTGCATGTCCCGGGGATCAAGAGATAGGAATTCCACGCCCCTGCTGCCCCTCTACTCCCTGCTGCCCCGAGGCCGTGCCTCGGTTGGCCTTGTGGGAAATGCGGCCCTGCGTACACAAATAAAGATCGCCTTTGGCTGTCTTACCAGTCCACAAGGTGGAGAACTCTAACAACAATATTATGGTCCAGAGTAGCAGGAAACAACAACTGATAGCAAAACAAGGTAAAGAATCGATGGCTACAATGTAATGTATGTATGTAAGTAACTTATATTGTACAGCAAACAAATGCTGTGACCCTTTGTGGTCCCTTTATAAGATGATACGGCTTATTCCCAAATTCTTTTTTTGAGCTCCTCATTCTACCCCTACATTGCCCAACTGTTGCTGGCAAGAGTAGCATATGGCCTGTAAATCCCAAAGAGCCGCATTCTGATGCCATATCTCCAACAAAAACAACTTTATTGACTCCAACAAGATACCGCTCAGTACCTCTCAAGGTCTGCTCCACTGTAAAATGTTCCACTACCAACAGGCTTAATTGTAGAATAGGATATGGCTGGCAGCCGCATAATAATTGAAACCAATTTCTAATGTCTTTCTATAAAAGCTATAAAAGTGTGCCCAGGTGCTGGCTGAATTGGAGTAAGTACAGTGGTAATGTATATAGAGTACAGTTGTATATGTATATATTGGTGGATTGGTGATAAAGCTTCAGTGGAGACACCAATTTCCCCTGAGAACTCTCACAGGATTGACTTGCCCTTCCTAGGGGTAGATTTCCTCTCACTTTCTGTTGTCTCAAGGACAGGAAGTGAGATTAAATCTTTCTAATGAGGATACAGACAGCAGTTAAAACCTCACAGTGACCCAGAAGAAGAGGTGGGCACCCCTCGTCTGCAGATCTAACAAGAGCCAACCTCCTGTAATGTATGTACAGTACTACGAGCCAGACCCAAAAAGGCGGACACTCCTTGTCGGCACGAGCGTAGTAGCATTACAACTACCTCTGCAGTACAGTAATAGCCTCCATTTGTAAGTAGGAGTCGTATGTAAGTCAGGTGTTTGTAACTCAGGACTGCCTATATTGGCAACTTGCAACCCTTATAAATATAGTCTATATAGTCTCTTTGTGCCCTGGCCAAAAAATAATAGCCAAAAACATGTGAACAAACTTATAAGTATGGACTGAATGTTGGGTAAACCCACAGTATACAAATAACCTCCATCTTGGTGGGGTAGATATCACACTACAAAGTAAGAGGCCATATAGTATAATGTAACACAAGATTGATGTATATTCCAGTGTATGATTATTGGAGATTGTCTCTCCAATAGATGGAACCTTAGATCAAAGGCGTACTGTAATCAGCAATGAACTAATATATACTTCATATGTGATCGCTTATTTGTATGTCTTTGTCTGCCCAATAAAATCTATCATTATAAAATATTTCTGCTTTGGATTTTCTTACATTTTCATTCACGCGCTATCCAGGCCAGCAGAAAAGCAGTGACCCGTGGTAAAGCCGCAGCAAAACGTGCCCAACGAGGTTCTTCCAATGTCTTCTCAATGTTTGAGCAATCACAGATCCAAGAATTTAAAGAGGTGAGAAAATGACACCGTATATGTTAGCCCTTTTAGTATAATGCTGCTTCCATCCTCAAAGATATGACCATCTTGTTAAATGCAATCTGGAAGGCCCACCTACTCTGCGCTAGTACAAGGCAATGAGCTAGATAAGCTCAATGTTCTTCCATGCAAAGGCTTGGACAGCCTAAGTCCTCGTGCACACACCTGGGTGTTTGCAGCCCGTATTTCTCAGCACGGAAAACCTCTGCACAAGCCTGTCAAGTATGAACTTCTTATTAGGAAGATCAGCGCGATGTGATCCTTTTTTCATATTTCTAATTGCGCTGATGTGCCCAAAATAAAAGGTTTTCTCAGCGCGACGCTGTGCTGAGCCGTGAACGGGGACTATAGAAATTAGGGATGCACAGATACCAAGTACAAGTACATGTACCGATACTTTTCGAGCTCCAAGACTAGACTAGAGAAAAATTCAAAAGTTAGCAGACAGCTGTCATTTGTAAGGAGCACACGGAGCTCCCGGGATTTGTACATCTCTGTTTTAATGTATGATTTTGTTTTCATAAATATATATATAAGTGATGCACCGATACCAGTTTTGCGAGTACGAGTACTGGTACTTGTCCAAGTACTTACAAGTACGAGTACTGATACATTTTTGTTTATTGTTATGTGACAGTTTTTCGAAAACAATTTCGACTAATGATTTCAGGACAGTGGTGGAGAGCCAGAGCCAGGTCCCAGCTGCAACCGCTGCAAAGCTGGTAGTTCTCATGAAAACGCCAAGTATCGGCATTGGTATTGGTACTTGGCATACGGTGCATCCCTAATAGAAATCAATGTGATTTCTTGTGCGGAACTTTCCCGTGCTGAAAAAATACGAGCTACAAACGCCCTGGTGTGAAAAAATTAAAGTGACACTAAACTAACAAAAATGTATCTTATTTGTTGATCACTCGGCTGTAGATCCTCAGATCATCTCCGAGTAGTAGCCACTGCTCCAAACTCAACTACAATCTCAATACAAATCAGTAAACTAAACATGAGATTGTAGTTCATCACAGATGCGAGCTTGGAGCGGTGACTACTTTACAACACACACAGGGACCATGGGGACCAAAAGTAGTCACCCTCCAGAAGGAAGGACAGTGTCCGCACCAATTCAGAGATGATTTGAGGATCTACAGCCGAGTGATACACAAAGAAGATAAATTTTTATTAATAATTAAGGTAATTGAACTCATTTTTAAGAATGAACTCCTGAGTGTAGTGTCACTTTAAGTGGAATACAAGGAAGTATTTTGAAGCCAAGGTTGTTTGAGGTGTTACATTATTTCTGAGCCATCCTCCAATATAATAGTTTATGTGGTACTTGTGACCTACAAGCAGTACAGGGACCTATTTCTTTGTGACACTAATTCCAGGCTTTCTCATTATGTCTAGGCCTTCAGTTGCATAGACCAAAACCGTGACGGCATAATAAGCAAGTCTGACCTTAAAGAGACTTATATGCAGCTGGGTGAGTTTCTGCAATTGTGAGAGCTGCATAAATTATTGGCTATAATAAACTAATTAAGTGATCAAAAATCTACAGATATAGCTTGCAGCGATCTACACACTAAACCTCTCTTCCATCTGTCGTGTAGAACTGTTATCATATTTCCTAAGATAGCATAAAATAGTTTAAAATTGAACTCCGGTGTTCTATTGAAAGTTCCAACTCATCAAAATCTCCAACTACCTCACTTCCGGTGCTCAGAAAGACAGGAGCTCTGTACAGTTGCGGTGCACATGCGTGCATAGCGTTTTAGAATACTACCTGCTGAATATTGTTAAAATGCAGCTGTAAAGAACTCCGTCATTCTTTGTGTTTTGCAGTCTAACGCCGTCTGGTCGACATCTCCAACAGTGAGGTAGTGAGGTAGTTGGAGATTTCGACGAGTTGGAGCTTTCGATAGAACACCGGCCTTCCCTTCAGTCTTTGTATAGGTTTCTCTCCTGGACTGACATTGATTTCTCTGATTTCACTGTACACTGTGAGTGTGCAATAGAAGCTGAAGTCAGATAGAGCCAATCTCATTTATTGGCTGGAACATGTTCAGCCTAATCGAGCCCTTTTCTCCCCAGTCTGACTGTCCCTGGCATGCCCCTTTTATTCATTGGATTTCAGTTCTTTCAGTAATTTAGGTTCAGCATCACATGTCGACATTACCTAGGGGGTTCTGCCCCCCCCTCCCCCCCACCAGCCATGAGCTGCCTGCATTTCATAGGGAAGCATTAAGACTCATCAATTACAAAGTTGAGTCTAAAATAAGTTTGATGGGGGGCTGAGGTGCAACCAGGGAAGAATGAACATCTTTTATCTTTTGGTAAACCATTTTATTGGGGTAACTTGCCCTCACCCCATTCACTGCCTAATGGAGAGTGGAACGTTAGTGATGTTGACTATTCTACCACTGTATCCATATTTCATACTCATCTCAATCTCTCTCTTTCTATCTCCCTTTCTCTCTCCCTCTTTCTTTCTCTCTCTCTCTCTCTCAGGAAAGATGACTGTGAATGAGGATGAGTTGGATGAAATGCTGAAGGAAGGAAAAGGACCCATCAACTTTACTGTATTTCTGACTTTATTTGGAGAGAAGCTCAATGGTGAGCCAAGATGATCACCTACAAAAAAAATCAATTCTTTGCAAGGTTTACTCCTTTTAATCATTCTAATGGTAACTCTACACTTTACAATCTGACTGTACAATCTTTGTACAATCAACTTTGGAGTTACCAAAACTATGTAAAATGAGGACCTAGCAAAACTATGCAATTACTTTGTATCTAATCAGTCAGGCGCTGGCACGACATGGGGAATGGTTGGGTGGAGGATCCACTAAATGGCGAATGGTGGATCCACCACATGGTGGTGGATCTAAAAGAGATTGTACAGATTGTAACGTGCGCGGTGAGGTTAAGGCTGGGTTCACACCTAGGCGTATTGCATATGCGCGTTTGTCGCGCGTTTTTACCGCATAAAAAAAAACGCGTGACAAATGCACGTTTCCCAGGGCTACTTGGCTGTATCCCAATGGAAACGCCCGACCAAAACGCCCCAAAGAAGTACATGTACTTCTTTGGGCGTAGGGCGGTTTCCCGCGCGTTCGTACTCGCGGAAAAACGCCCAGATGGGAACCATGCACATTGAAAATAATGGCATTTCCCTGTTTGAGCGTTTTTCCGCGAGTACGAACGCGCGGAAAAACGCCCAGGTGGGAACTGGGCCTAACAGTACCAGTCCTATTACAAATAATAAGACAAAGGGACCGTTAAACTGCCATATATGGAGCAAATTACAGCCAGTCCTTGAACTGGTCAACATTTGCTCCAGGGGTGGCCCTGTTGGCAGCTTCCTGCCCAACATCCTTTGATATGAAAATTGAAGAAGCCGGGTCGGCTGAACAGTGACTGCAGCCAATGAGCTTCAGTGACTGTTCACACATTCTGATAGCTATGACACTGGCTGTCAGAATACAATGGCCTTAAACTAGAATTTTAAAAATAAGCTCAGCATTGGTAGACACCATACTTTTCTTATGACAGAGTCGCTTTCTTTGTCATTTAGCAACTCACAACATTACTGTAAGCGAAACCAAATGCTAGCACAACATAACTTCTTCACAGCTTAGTGGACAGAGCTAAAGGATACAGAAGGAATGACTTCTATAGTCCCACAGGCAATGCTTGATACCACTCTACTAGTAAACAACAAACCTCTGATAATATACAAATTATGACTACCCCATCCCTTTCCCCAATGCAGAATACATTTGCTTATGAAGTATAGGTATATATTTACTATCTATGTATCTACTCAAAATGTAAAGCTGACTTAAACATTGGTTTCCTAGGAACGGACCCAGAAGACTCTATACTCGGTGCGTTCAAACTTCTAGACCCCAATGGAACTGGAAACATCCATAAGGATGAGTAAGTGAATTCTACACTGTTAACGTCAATGAAGTAAAATTATTCCATAGAACTCTCATCTCAGTCTCATCTGTACATCAGTCACATTGACTGCCGAGGCTAGGTCCATAGGAGTGAAAACTTAAAGTGACACTAAACTCAGGAGTTAAATCTTGAAAATACATCCAAGTACCTTAAATATTAACAAAAATTTATCTTATTTGTGTATCACTCGGCTGGAGATCCTCAAATCATCTCTGAATTGGTGCTGACACTGTCCTTCCTTCTGGAGGGTGGCTACTTTGTTCCCCATGGTCCCTGTGTGTGTTGTAAAGTAGCCACCGCTCCAAGCTCACTCCCATGATGGACTACAATCTCATGTTTAGTTTATTAATTTATATTGAGATTGTAGTCCATCCCGGGAGTGAGCTTGGAGCGGTGACTACTTAACAACACACACACGGGAACCATGGGGATCAAAAGTAGCCCCCCTCAAGAAGGAAGGACAGTGTCAGCACCAATTCAGAGATTATTTGGGGATCTACAGCCGAGTGATACACAAATAAGATACATTTTTGTTAATATTTAAGGTACTTGAATGTATTTTTTAAGATTTAACCCCTGAGTTTAGAGTCACCATAATTTAACAAGTTCCTGTCAAGTAAAACTTTGGTTGACCCAATATGGATGTAACTCCAAGTAGACTGTCCACTAGTGTAATCTACAACCCGTAAGATTCAGTTAAGATGAAACTTGCAGAAATATAACAGCAGGGAAATGAAATCTTATTGATCACATACATTATTCTAGAAATGAATTTTGAACGCACAATGCACACCATCTCTCCTCTTGGTATTGAACAAGCCCACAGGAGAGGGTAATGCTCTGCTAGTCCTGCCGGTAGGGTGTCTGAATTTCTATCTCTAAATGTTTTATGAACATCATCATGATTAAACATTCCTCCTTTTTTCAGGTTTAAACACTTCCTGATGACACAAGCGGATAAGTTTACAGCAGATGAGGTCAGTTATTTCTACTACATTCAATTGAAACAAATCTTCTACTGGCTGCAACAATGTATCCTATGTAATTAATATGCCATGGGAACTGCACTTCTAATGAGACTACAACTCTTATGATGCTTTTAACAAATATGGCAATGTGTAATTAGTGCCCCACTATTTAAATTATGGATGGCCCATCATCGGAACCCTCCCAATTCTCACAATACTCTTGCATATTCAACAAACATACAACATAACCTTAAAATAATGTTTTTAAAAAGAACATTATTTAGGCCAGTCTTTCTTAACCTGGGTGCCTCTGGCTTCCTCAGGGGTGCTTCAAAATGTTCACACAGCTTCACGCCATGGAACAGACGGGCCGGCCACCAGCACCATAGAATCTAATGATGCTAATCCAGGGGGTGGGATCCTATCATAAAAGAGTGGAAGTTCTCCTTCATCCAGGCCTTCTCTTCCTCCCACCCTCTGCCATACTGCA